GAAAAGGAGGCTCAGGGGAGACCTCATTGCTCTCTACAACTACCTGAAAGGAGGCTGTAGCGAGGTGGGTGTTGGTCTCTTTTCCCAAGTAACAAGGCCATTTCCTCTCGTCCTATCGCTTAAGTTGCGCCAGGAGAGGTTTAGATTGGACGCGAGGAAAAATTTCTTTACTGAAAGAGTGGTTAAACATTGGAACAGGCTGCCCTGGGAAGTGGTTGAGTCACCATCCCTGGAAGTATTTATAAGACGTGTGGATGAGGCGCTTAGGGACATGGTTTAGTGGACATGGTGGTGTTGGGTTGACGGTTGGACTCTATGATCTTAGAGGTATTTTCCAACCTTAACGATTCTATGATTCTATGAATCTGCCTGTGAAAATGCGAACACCTGTGCACTGCAGTCAGGCCAGGACCAGCTTCCCAGCCTGGCACTTTCTCTGAGGGCAGTCTTTGTAACTTGCTCTGGCAAAACCCTCTTTACTCCATGAAAATGCACTCAATGAAAGCAAAACCACCTGTGCCATCTTTCTCCAGCCACCTTTTTCAGACAAGGTCCCCAAACCAAACACACTTTGTGACTCCTAGCAGATGTGCAGTTACATTCAAAATGCACATGGATGCAATGCAATGGCTTTGTGCCCATTCAGACACACAGAAAGAGCTATGAAGCAACAGCTGAACACTCTCTATATGATTAAAAGCATACAGGAACAAAAGGAAATGCTCTCAGGGGCCATCTGCTTTGAAATAGTACCAGTCACTGCAAAGCAGTGACTCTGGAGGAACACCTATCATGAAATAGGTGGAATTCCTCTTTGGACACCTGGCCTCATATTATAGAGCATGTTTTATGCTATGTATTACAAGCAATCAACTCATCTTATGTTTGCCTAAACACTACTGAATGATCTTTTCCTAAAGAAAGGATATATTTTGTCACTGATTACATTCCTCTTGCTTATTCAAAAAAGACTGCAACATATAAGCTACAAATACAAGCAACGAGTGAGAGACATGGCAAAAATTAAGAACTAACAGCAGAGAATGTGTATGGTATGGTTTAGTGCTGAATGCAGTTGATGTACATGGAAGGAGAAGTGATGGCTGAAGTCTATAAAAATCTTATCTCAGGGTTTCTTTTATGTCTGATGTTTGCGCTTGAGAATTAACTGTAGTGAAAGGTGACTTCAGGTCAATCCGTGTGTATCTGTGGGGGGGAAATGGGTTAGTTTTCTTTCCACTTTTTTTTCAGGCAACTGCATAACCTCCTATACAGTATTTTGGTAAGCAGGAAGTTTTCACATTCAAGTCTAAACTAGCAGAAAAAGCTAGCAGAAAAAAAACTGTGCTTAGCACAGGAACTTGACAACTTTCAAGCCATTATTTCAAGAGTTAGGAACAGTCATCATCTTCCTTAAAAACACTCCTAACATAATGACACATTACCCTGTTCAAGTTCTTTAGTGATTTTTTCATCCAGTTCCCGTCGTACCTAGAATTATACAGAAAATATATAGTTAATATTTTAACAGTTACCTTCTTGTAATATTAAGCTTCTAAACATTCTTAAAACCCACACATAACGTGATAAAAACTAAAAATATCATCCCAAATAAGAGACATATTGGTTTGGGGTTTGATTTTCAATGAAGAGAAACTCTTGGTCAGCCAGGCTGTAGCATTCTCTTTGCTGAGCAACATTAACTGTAGCACAAAACATTCTGTAACTCACCAGCTGGATTATAACTGGGCATTTAAAAAATATACAGGAAGAAAGCACAGTGGAGTTATTACAATGAAGGTATGGCTAAAGTCTATCATCAAATACATGAGCAGAATGTCAGCTAAATGCCGAAATAAGCACAAATGCCATCCATAGGGACAAATTCAGTTGAGGCTGGCTTCTGCAGCTTCATAAGAGAAGAGGTGCAACAGCAGCTACTGCAGGACTGACATATTCCATTGTCTAGGAAAAAAGCCTGCACCAATATTCTTCTTTTCTCCACCTTAAGATGGAAAATTGAAAGAGCTCCTATAGCTCATGCCAAGATTTTTCTTTATTGTTATTGCAAATACCATGACACACATATATAAAAATATAAAAACACACACAATTTTTTCTCGCAAACTTTGTACTAAGAAAAGATAGCAACAGCTACAGCTTCTACACAGCAAGTGCTGTGGGTTTTATCATGTAACCAAAATCAGCTTGGATCACTAGAAAGGAGCACTTACTCCTTTCTCCCCTAGAAGGTGGTTATTGCTACCAATTAAGTTATTCTCACTTATGATTCTGACTTCAAAGTCTTCATAAGAAGAAATCAGATCTCTTGAAGAGTCATAGTCCAAGCGCTATATGCTGTTGTTTACATTTGATGATACTTGTGACTCCTACGTTTTTTCTATCAAGTCTTTGACACATAGAAGTGATTTTCAAAATGGATACCATACAGCTTCCAGGCCTACGACGGCCATGAAGATGCTGAAGGGCTTGGACTACGTGAGCTATGTGGAGAGGCTCAGAGAGCTGTGACTGTTTCTTTACTGGAGTAGAGAAAGCTCAGGGGGACCTTACCTAGGTGTATAAATACCTGGTGGGGGCAGTAAAGGAGACGGAGCCAGGCTCTTCTCAGTGGTGCCAAGTAAAAGAACAAGAGGAATGGGCACAGATCGAAATAGAGGAAATTTCATTTTAACATAAGGAATTTTTTTTTTTTTAAATTGTAAGTGTGGTCAAACACTGGAAGAAGGTGCCCAGAAAAGGTTGTGGAGTGTCCATCCTTGGAGATGTACAAAACCCTGGCTGGACATAACCCCGAGCAACCTGCTAGGTCTGACCCTGCAGGGGTGGGGTTGGACTAGATGATCTTCAGAGGCCCCTTCCACCCTCACCCATTTTTAGTACTGAATCCCTGAGGGAATAAGTATTTATTTTATGAAATGAGCAGGCTCACCTAGCAACATATCAACAAAGAGAACTGAAACACTGTACGATGTACTCAATAGGCCATAGAGAGCAAAAGCCTCAGTAAGGGAAGCACTCTGCAAACCCTCACAAGAGGAGCAGTAACAGGCAGTAACTGCAAGGGCCAAAGAAGTGGGGCTGTAAACCACCAAAGTGGAGGGAAGGGCCCTCTCTCCAGGACTACAGGGATAGCTGCGACCAAATTCACCAGCTCCTCCAGGGGAAGAAGCACTCAGTGGTACTTCGTTGGAATAGTCTGTGCCTTCACAGCTAGAAGAGGAGAGCACGGAGCTGAAAGAACATGGGAAAAGGACCCCTCAAATCCCCAAACCTCTAATCATTTTCAAGCAGGTACAAGCAGCAGCAAAATCCTGGGGAGAAGGGACCCTCTAACACATGGAGTGAGACATTGGTAACAGAAAAAAGCAGGAAAACTAATGCCTAGACCAAAAGACGACCCAAAACCAGGACGAATCCTGAACAAAGTAGTAGTAGTTGAGGTGTTAGAAGAAACCACTTTTCCTGGTTTCTGGAGCCTTCACAATGACCAGAAGGCCCACAGGATCCTCCACAACATGTGCGGATGAATCAAGAGAAGAAGATGATCTTGTTCTCCTCTTATTCATTCCATTAACATCTTTGTGATTCTCATCCACGCCTGAGGAAAGAGGAATAGGTGGAAATAAAACTGACACACCGGTTTCTGAAGAGGGAATGAAGAGCCAGGCAATATACACACTTTAGGACTAACTTGCCTCCACTGTTCTCCTTCCCCCCAGCTCCCTGGAAAAGGCATCACAGCTGACTATCCCAAACCTCCTGAGCAGTAAGGATGACAATTTCAGGTTCCAGAAAAGCTTCTGCCAGACTACAGTCACAGAACTGAAAAGCAGAACAGTGATTGCTATCTCTTCTGCGCTAAGTTCTATGCTGAGGTACTTCTCATCTCACTGCACATCTCTTCAGGCAGTGCTGGGTTCCCTTGCAGCAGTCACCTTCTCAATAATTCTTTTTCAGAAAGCGGTATTGACTTACTACTTACCCATATGGGTTGCTTGAGCACAGAGTAAGTTCGATCCTGTAAGACTCCATGAGCTGATACTCAGAGTCTAGGAACTCAACTTCAGAACAGTACTGGTACACCAGACACAGCCGCTGTCAATACCAAGAACTTTTTGCACATCGGAACTGGCAAGGAAGGTAAACCAGCCTAATCCTATAGTTTAAAGAAGTTCCATTGTAACAGATGAAATCCATACACCATCGTCTTACAGATGGTTAACTACCACAGCAGCCATAACATTTCAAACACAGAAAGCATGAAAGTACTCTGCAGCAGTCATTCTTTCACTTGGACAAACTAACAAGTTCAAAATATTTGCATTATTAGGAAAATGTGAATGCATCAGTAAGTTTTAATCAAAACCTAACAGCATAAACAGACAAAACATTTCCAGTATAAAATACCACCCAACATTAAACAATACTGGCTACAAACCTTGTCATGTATCTGGCTGCAGAGAAGAGAGAAGAACAGATTTTTGATTAAGGAGCTGAAGAAGAAAGAAAAACGGCCTTAAGTTCAAAGGTCTTCAGTGAGAAATAAGAACATGGCCTACATGTAAATGAAGCAAGTAAAAAAAGCTAACAATACAAAGACTGCTACAATACATGAGTGCAGACGGAAAATGAAATCAGAAAAGGAACAGAAATTGAGAGAGAGAGTAGGAAGCAGACATTCCCTTTCTCCCAGTATGTAGGAAAACTGGTTTAATAAATCCACTAATTCACACTGGTTGCAGCTAGCAGAGTTCACCATTATTTTCTGTGTCAAGACACCCACATTCATTTTCACCAGCCTTTTCCACAGCTGTTAGGATTTAAGCTTGACATTTGTTAAACCTAACAACAGGATTCCAGTCCCAAAACCTCCTTGCAGCAGACATTCCTTGCCTTAGTCTATGGACTAAGGCAGCAGTTCCCAAATCATGGTACACAGACCACTAGCAGTACCTCGTATTTGTGTTTCATCTGCTTGATTCAATTTAGTTCTGGATGCTGACATGCCAATTCATGAGCAGTTTGGGAGTCAGTAGGCCAGATCATAAAAAGACAAAAAGACTCCATCAAAGACCTCTTCACTCCTGTAAAGGACAGGCAATACACACGCACATCCTTGTTATGACACAAGTCCTACTAGGAAACAAATTTCAGCCAACCTCCTTCCAGAAGATGATGAACTGCTAGTCGCCACAGTCACTGTAATTACATGCACAGAATTTTTCAAGTACTTGTAATTTATTCCTCATTACTGGAGCTCTAATGAAAATAAAAACAACCAAAAAAGCCAAAGGCATTTGCATGTGATTGGCATTTTACTGGTTCATTACTTGTGTCAATATGAACTTTTTTATATTTTTCAAGATACTTTTGCACTGCCATTTCAAGGTTACTAATTTCTGTAGCATATATTTGATAAAGGGAAAGGGGCTATACTGTAATGGAACACATTTCTTTGTTTTTTAAAGAATAAAATGCTCATTTTTTGCTAGGCTTGAGCAAGGCTTGCAACATGACCATCTTCAAAATGTAAAGCTATATGCATAATCACTGACATTTGCCTCATGTTAAGTAGTGGTTTAGGAAAACTGTGAAATCTTTCAAGCCTTCAAACTCCAAATTTCTTAGTTATGTCTAAAAGAAGTAACTGTGTCCACTTGCCAGAGGAGCACTTCTTCCTCTTGTTTGCAATCAGCACAATTTACCAATGTTTTTTCCAACAGCTGCATGGACAAAGAATTAATACCAGCATTTTGAATAATAGCAGTGTGAAGTATTTTTACCTCCTTACCCCTGAAGCTATTTAAAAGCTTTTGCCCAAACCAAATTTACATAAATATCCTCCTCTTAAGAATGGCATGTCCTCTACTTCAAATAGCCTTTCTCACCTTGAGGAAGCGAGAAACACCAAATCTGCACAGAGAGCTTTGACTAAAAAAAGAAGTGCAAGATGACTACCTGAGGCACACTGCAATTTAAGCTCCTTAACTCCCTGTCATTATGAGCTTTAGTGGGAGGAGCACTTGTAATCTCCAGCCAAGAAGGTACTGCTCAGCTTGAATTTAAAAGGCAAGACAAATTCTGTAGAAGGGAACCAGGTTACTGGAAAAGATCTGAAGCATAATTGAAGCAAACAGTGAAGTGAAGTGAAGAAAAGGCTTAGAGTCAGAGTAACTCTTCTGTCTTTAAATAATGTGGTGAACAGGCAGAGTACTAAGCAGCACAACTGGCAAAGTACTTCAAAATAGACTAAAACTGTAATCTCTGAATTCTTTCCTCATGCTCCAACTTGTCTACTGAATGACACAGGACTCCCGCAGAAATGACAGCACAGACTGTGCATCTGGTAATTTTGCATTTGGAAACTGATCCGAGATTCCATCCAACCACCTATTACTGTATGCAGAGGGATACGTGCAATTTTTCCCTTTTGTTACTTCCTGACTTAAAGCCTTATTTTCCAATTCAATCCTCTGCTTTTAGGCGCACGTGTCAGGAATCCTGTACTTTCCATTCCTCAGAGATATGGTATGGCTTCAAACACTGTTAATGACATACTGCACCCAGTTGAGGAAACCTGAGCCAGCAGTTGTAAGTGAAATACCCACTTAGATGCATGTCCTCTAGCAAGTACTGCACCTCTGAGAGCCCGGTTCCTTTTTTCTGAAGGACTGTGAAAGAGAAGACCAGGTCTTAAGACTTTCCTGAATACATTGAACATTGAGTGACTTGAGGCTACAGACAGTGCCATTACATTAGTCTCAGTTGTTCCCTAACTGGTGATTACAGGAAGAAATATCATGGAAGGGTATGCAGCTGGATTTAGTAACAGGGAGGATAAATTCACACCAGCAATTCTGAGTCCCAGAGACCAGCCTTCTGCTTTGACTGGGGGAAAACAGGCATGCTGAGATTTCCAGTTTTTTCTTAAGAGAACCTGGCAGAAATGGTAAGAAATGGGTAAGTTCTCTGAGGCTTTAGCAATAGTTTTACTCACCTTCATTCAGGGAAGAAAACTTTAGAATTTAATACTATATTAGAATTAAAAGCTAATCCCGAGAAGACAAACTGTGTATAGTAAGAGCCAATTATCCTCAGCAACTCTGTTGACGACAAAGTAAAAGTCTCTGTAGGTTGCAAACAAGATCAGCGACAACTTCGGGGGACGAAGTCCTACTAACAAAACTGCACTAGGAAGGAGAAATTTATGTATATAAGAAAGCCCCTGAGCTAACAAACAGAAAAACCCACCTGACATCAGTAACTGGAGACTGGGGAAGTGTCATACATAATTGTTCAACTTCCTTGAGAGTCTGCTCAAGGTTGATGGGTTTTTTTATGATTCTCTTTTTTAAACCTTCAAAGTGAAGCCTCAAAAAACAGTACCAAAACCCAAAAGCATTCTCCAGCATGGCAATCCATCACAAAATGCAAGACACATATGCTCTGAAAAGAAACTTTATGGTTGCTGTTGAAGTCAGGACACTGAGTGAGAACAGTAACACCATTCTCAGATCTAATGCACACTTTTCTTGGAATCAGCTCAAATGTTTTTCACAAGTAGATTTTCACAAAGCGTTGAAGCAGCCTATGTAACTATTTGAAATATATATCTGCATATATTAGCAACTGGATAAAAACAACCAGCTATGAAATAGCCTTTTAAAATATTTAGTTTCTGTAATATACTTAAGGGAAGCTAGTAAACCAGTAAAGGTATCTCTCTTGACATTGACAAAACTTTGAGATGCCCAGAGTTCCAATTTCTTCTGAAAAATTAAAATGGAAAGGACTACCTGAAGAATGTTGCTGTAATTCAGTTAAGAAGCACCAAGTACTCCCACTTTCTTTCCCTTCACTGTCTTTTTTTCCTTTTTTCTTCTTCTTAAAAAAAAGGCACAACTGTTAACCCTTTTCTTTTAAACTAGGGCAGCTTTTTTCCTAGAAGTGGGATAGTTTCCTCCTTTGCCTTTTTCTTCTTTTAACATCTTGCTCCCATCCCTCTGTCCTTTCTTTTCCTCACTTGTTCTCTGCTCCCTACCCGTCTTGTTCCCTTGTCCTGGCCTTCTCCTTATTTCACTTTTGCAGTGGGTCCCTGAATTTTGCCTCCTTTCCACTGCTTGCATGCAGAACAGCCCTGCAGATGGTACAGTACTGCCTCCCGAGTTCTTTCTGTAATTATGTCCACCCCTCTGACCTGAAAAACACGTTCACAGTGATACAGAACAGTTAATCTCTGTAACTGTCACTGCTACGCATTACCTACACTGCTCTGTCCATTTTTTATTTTTTTTTTTTTAAAACAGGTGCAGTATGTAGGCACATTGTTTAAATGGGTTCTTTCCAGTGTGGGTGGGACCACTGAACTGAGATGGACTTAAAAATGAATGAATGCTTCTCACATTCATTCACCAACAGAATATGTGAGGGATAGAACACTGACTGAATAGAGAAGCTTGTCCATGCCTCAATCCTATGCTAGGTGGGAAAGTGATTACAACTATTGACATCTGGTTTCCAAATCTCATGATATAATGTTCACCATTCTGTGAGGGATGTGCTATCACACTGACTGCTAATTACAGGGCATACTTTGACCAGAGGTATTGCAGAGGTTGCAGCATTGCTGCGAAATTAGAAAGCTGTGAAGACTTCCGGAGGGGTAGTTAACTTTACCTTTTCAGGTAATAACACATAGCAGGAACTACAAAAACAAATGCCTTCTACACATAGTATACATCCCGCACTGAAGTAATAAAGTGAGAAGTTACGTGATCCCATTCATATAATCCTATTTTTGAAGCATCCCTTTGTGGTATTAATGTACTAAAACAAGTTCCAACAAAGAAACTGCTAGAACGAAGATCAGTGAAGAAGGAAAAGGTGTCTCAAAGATGTCTGATGGGATTTTGCACTCAAAGTTAGCCATTTTAAATAGGTCATACATACTACACATTAAAATTTAATGAAGAGCTTAGCTGGGAACTTCCTAGGCCACAGTTATTCTTTATCACAGTTTCTCTTGTAAAAGAATGTAGTTACACAGTTCATTATTTAGATATCAGAATTTTTTGGTCTTTGAGCACTCTTGGAAATTTGTACAACCTTGATGATGAAAAATCTTCACCCCTACCACATATAGTTGTGTACTGTTTTGATGATTAGCAGTTGTTTTGGCATATTAGACCATATGGTTTGGAACTATAAATGGATTCTAACTTTAGGCTAAAAAGCATAACCTTGCTTATGGATACTCTTTAGCAGTAGCTGAGAACAGTATTTCAAAATGCTTACCTTAGCCACATATGCTTCAACTCTGTTTCTTGATGATAATGCGTTCCCCGTTGGGCTTAGGAAGCTTCCTCCTAGACTTAGACTTCTGTTCAGTGCCAAATTGTTGCCAAGATGTCCCAGTTCAGTTGAATACAGAACTGGACTTGCAGCCAGACCCCCACTGACAATGCTGCTTGCGATTAAAGATTTGCTTCTATGGCGCTCCTGAAGGAGCTTAGCGTTGGCTTCTGCTAGTCTCTCATTAGCTCTGAAACATTCAGAAGCATACAAAGAATTACCTTCGGTAGTAACACTTCTGTAAAGTTACCCTCCCAGTCTTTTGACTGTTATTTGACTTCTGAAAGGGGAAGGGATTAAGAGCATCTAAAACAAGAACATAATTTGATCTGAGGTTTTTTGGAGAACCTACTTCTAAGAAGTCACACTACCTGCAAGGAGCAGCAAGAGTTACCAACACTTCAGACTTCTCAGCATTAGGGCTTCAAAGCAATCTGTGAATACCATGTGTTTACATAGCTTCTTCTGAAAGGTATGTCACCTGCATAAGAACTCTGGGCTACCGTCCCTTTCCCAAGGAAAGCTCAAACCTCAGGCACACTGCTGAAGTGGAAGCCAAAAAAGATTTATTATTTTTGCTTCACAGAATCAAATTCTGTTTTCTGAAGGGCCTATCCTTTTTCAAGCAGTAAAGGACATGAAATTTATCTTTTCTGCCATACACAGAATAAGAGGAAGAGATTATTAGAGATTGGCAAAAAGGCTGCCTGTTAAAACACAATCAAGTTAAAAAATACGCTATTAATGTGGTGTTACTGCTGGAATACTAAAGAGAAATGAAGGCAGTTCTAATGAAGGGGAAGGGTCTAAGGTACTTTCCTCACAAATATGCCATCTTATGCTTACATACGTAATGCTGACCAGATGTAGAAGAGGGATTTTAGGAGGAAAACGCATAAGGAAAAAGTAGTATCTTACTACCACTCCAAAAAAGCATGGACTTACCTTTCCAGTTTATTTGCTAGGCATCTTCTAATTTTTACTTCCTCCAGATACAGCTCTTTGTACCTTTCCACTTCTGCCTGCGTGGATTCTTTTTGAAAAATACTGTCTTGTTGGGTATTTTTTATCCTGTCCAATTCACATTCGAGATCTCTAATTCTGTGTTTTAGCTGGTTTCTCAGTGAAGCATGATGACTGGCTCTGATTTGTTCTAATCTGTCCTGGGAGGCTGCCTGCGTCTGAAGCAGACAATGCACTTTCAACCACCGCAAAGAAAAAGAGAACTCTCCCCACCAAGCAATTGCACATACCCAATTTCAAGGGCCCAGCTTCACTCAGTGAGGAAAACGTGCCTCCTCACTACCATGAGCAATCAAGGCAGGACCCTGGAACTACCACGTTAAAAAATTGTTTTCATTCAGAAAGAACCCCCCCTCTTAGTACTATTATTCATCAAAGCTACTAACAAAAGAATGCTATCTCTGTAGGACAGGGCATATAGAAAAGGATTCCTCAAAGAAATTATGAGGATCCCTCACCTCCACGCCCCCATCCCCAACTTCAGTGACTTCTTTTCTGAGCACTTTCCCCTGTACAATGACAAAGCAGGACCTGTACGTCTGGCCATGACAACTGTAAGTTGCAATACCCGTTCAAGGATGAACAGCAAGAACAAGACCAGTGGACAGCGATACCCCCACCAAGAACTGCAAAATGGAAATCTACCCTGGGCAAGCTTTCGATTCAGGGACCTGCAGGCACATTACACAAACATGAAAGCACTCTTGCCCAACCATATTCCCTTCTCCCACTGCCCTTCAGGAAAGACAGAAATACAGCACTAACACACAGAATCAGGCACCAAAAATAAAATACTAAAAAATGATGGCCACAACAAAAGTATATAATAGAGACTACAGACACAAGTGAGAAATTCACTTACCTGCAAAAATAGGTTGACTTCTTGTAGTTTTTGTCTTATTTCTTGTCCGGCTCGTTCTTCCATCTCTCTTTTATATTGTTCTATTTGGCTGTGATCCACCATGCTAGTCTCCAAACGATGTTTGAGGTTAGCCACCTCTTCTTTCAGCTGGCATTTGCTCTTCTCTAGTTTTTCATGGTTCCCACGCATGGTAGACAACTCTTCTCGCAAATCCTGATTTTGTGCTTCTAGCTGCATGCATTTTTTAGACTCTATCTCCAGCTGTTGGGAAAGTTCACTAACCTGTAGACAGCAAAAAAAAACCCAAACAACAAAGGAACTCAGAGGGATCTAAAATTAGTCAATTCTGTGAAAATCCATGAAGGGGTTGGCCATCGAGAGTGTATTTGTCATCTGCTGGCTCAGTTTTAAAACCAAAGTGAAACCAGGCTCTTGTTTTAAAACAAGAACAGCTTTCACATCATTTCTGGTAGGATCCCTCAGGTTCCCATCCTTTCTCCGTTCTTCTGCAGTAGGTCACAGACCAAGAGGTACCAAACTAGCAGCATTTCACCCATAGGGCTAGGTTGAAAAGCACCAGGGCTATTCTTCCATGAGATGCTCATATGCTCATGGGAAATCAAACACATCCATACCTAGCCACCTTCTGGTTTCATCAGAAACAACATGTATCATGCTTTCGAGGAATTTTTACATGCTGTCAACACAGTCAAAGCTTTGTTACAGAACTGACAAGACAAGAAACAGATACTCTTTTTTTCCATTACACTGAAAGATTTGTAAATAGTGGTTCAGAATATGTCTTTTACAGCAGCGGTGGAGGAAGACATATTCTCCCTAGGTCAAAGCTGCAGTTTATTTTCAAAAATTTGCAGGAAATATCACTTTCAATAGGTCCTAATGGTTAACTACAGCTCTGTCCTCCTCTTCCCCCTGCCAAAAACATACCTTTTCTATACCTATTGAGCATAAAACATTATGTCCTGTCTTTTAATAAAAGAAAATTGGATGAAACTAGCATAGTAAACACTTGAAAGAGTCTCTAAGAGAAAGTAGAAAATTTAGACTTATTTAAAACCACCTAAATGTAAAGCCCTTTCCTGTCTTTCAAAAATAACTCTTCCAACAGAAACACAAAAATGCTACTAACTTTTGGACTGAAAATGAGCCACTGCAAAGGCAGTTGACTCATTCTACAATACCTTCTAAACACGAATGTAGCTCTGAAACATGGCTGCTTTAG